TCCCATCCAAGACCTGTGTTAAGGCCTGAGTAGATTCTTGGAGTTAAGATCTGGAAAAAAACAGCTTAAGCTGGCATTGTTGAGTTCCACCCACAGTGTTGCTAGAGTCCTTCTTTAACCAGGAGAGAGCCCCTTGGACCAGCTACCCGAGGAGTATTTCTCCTTTATTCCTCATGGCCTTGGGCAAGTCACCCCCTCTTTCAGGTAACTTTAATTCCTTTGTGGTGTCACTGATGTCTCAGAGCGGACTGTTTGCCAGTGTCTGGGACACGTGGAGGCCGAAATCTATATTCCGAGGCCCTCTCCCCAGCCTCCACCCTGGGGTGGGTCAGGGTAGGAGCTCCCCCTACGTGCGCTCTGGGCAAGCATGCTCTGTCCCGTCCCAGGTAAGCCCCAGTAGGAAGGCACCTGTCGTGGGTGCTGAGTGAGGGGTGGGTTTCTCCACGTGGAAGGAGGGAGGCTGGTGGGGAGAGGGTGTGAGTGCGGCCAAGGCCACAGCCTGGCTGCCGAGGCCCACGCGCGGGCAGGGTGAGAAAGGAGGCCTGCAGAGGGTGGGGTTGTGCCGTGTGTCCTGTTGCTTGAGCAGAGCAGGCTGCCCTGGGGGACAGCCCGTTTCCAGGACGGTCTCAGAAGGGGAGGGAACAGCATGGCTGCTGGTCTGGATTTTAGCTCCACGGACACCGCAGCTCTAAGGCGCGTCCCCACCCACAGTTTCTTAAGACAGAGGCTGCTCCTGGCCGCCCTTGTCCAGAGAGATCAGTGCTCCTGGGGTCCTCTGGACCTCCGTGGCAAGAAGAGAGATTCCACATGCGGAGTTGTTCAGGCCAGCGGGAAATAGTCACATCCTCAGGTGCCAGCCCCGGGAGCTACCTGCCAACCCCTGTGGCTGACAGAAGAGGCCCGACCCCAGTGCCACGGGGCAGGGTCCACGTTGATCCCGGCTGCCCCAAGGCCACAGCCCGTGCGGGGCCTTTCCAGGCGCTCCATGGTGGCCTGTCTCCCTCACTTTTGCACCCACGACAGTAGGATTTCCCACAAGTTTATTGCTTTTCCCCAAATTTCGAAGCCCAGGGCAGTTTCTAAGGAATTGGAAGATTAGACACAGGATTGCCCCCCGGCACAGGGAAAGGTGCGAAGAGAGGTGTCCCTCCAGCTCTTATCAGGGTGAATGCGCTTAGATAAAGGCCAAGGAGGAAAGATATGGGGGGTTGGGGGGTGCAGGCCTGGAACTGGAGAGGTGGGAAACCCAGAGATACAGCCCCAGTTGGTGGATGCCCCTTCCCTCCCAGAGGGCCGTGTGCAGGGCACTGTCCCCTAGAAGCAGACAGACTGACGGGGCGGGAAGAAGGAACGCCTGTACCACCCCAAGGCGGGGGCCGGGCCTGAGGAGACCGGGCGCTTCGGGACTTTGCCTTTTCTCACGGTGCTGCCACAGAATCTTTCCGACTCGGAGCTTCTCTCCCCTGGTCCTCAGCCTTCCGGCAGGTCGTGTAAACTACCCCATCCAGGGTTGTCAAAGATTGCTGGCTGCTAAATTATTTCAGGAAAACACGCACACGCACACCCCTGACTTTCCTGGTATCAGCTTTGGTATTTCCCCATATCTGTAAAATCGAACATTTTTAACCCAACCTCTTGACAGGAGAGGACACACTGCCTTTTTACTCCCGCTTCTATTAAATACCGTTGTATACTTAAATGTTCTTAAAGGTCCTACAGTTCAGCTCACCAAGTCAGCTCGAGCCAGTTTTCTCTCTTGAGGGGAATAGCATCCTCCAACTTTGTTCTGCATACAGTTGCTTGGGGGTTTTTTTCCCTACCAGTTTTACACATTTTTTACATCACACTTCAGTTCAGCTCAAGAAAACAGAGCACGATACGCCAAGAAAAGGTGACGAGGGCAAAGGCGGGAAGGCACGCCTTCGTGTCCTGTCACGGCTGGGGGTCCGGCCTCTCCTTGTTGGCTGTCAGGTGGCCTTGAACACGGCCTGACAACCAAGGCCATCTTGACCACTGGCTGGGCTCACTCTGGGACCTTGCCAAGCTGCCCTGGCCCTAGACACAACTTTGGCTTGGAGCAGGGAGAGAGGGAAGGATACCTGGCCTTAGGCTGAACTGCCGGAGAAACGTGCTGTACTTGATTGGGTTCCCTGCTGGGCCGGCGCCCTTGGCTTGGACATATCACCCTGTGCTGCCACTTGGTGGGCGGTGCCAGGACGAGGTGCCTGAGAAGTCAGGTATCATGGCTCTTCCCTCCCCCTGAGCTCGACCGTTCCCCCAGGTGGTGCCCACGGTAGGTCTGACTCTACCCACGGAGCCTGCGGCTGTTGTGCTGGTTTCCCCCTCCCTCTGAGGTGCAGGCTGCAGAGGAGGGAAGGAGTCCAGCTTTCCTGCAGCAGGGCGGGGCAGCGGGCACGGGGGCTCCCCGAGCCTCAGAGTGGGACCGAGCCAGGAGAGGGGCCACCCAGAAGGCCGGAGGCCCCGAGCATCGAAGCCCCTCTACTAACACCCGTCTTCACATAACCCCCTGGCAACTGGGCCACCATCGAGAATGCTGCCCCAGGCTCCCCGGTGTCCACCGCACGCTAATCATCTCTGGCAAATCTCTGTGCACCTTTGTCTCCTTAACTTTCCTCCTCTTCTAAATTGTAAGTAATCTGCTTTCATCCAAGCCACCACACATGCATTTAAAAAACAAAATCCGTGAGTCCAACGCACGCCTTGTTGGCGGTTAGTGTCTGTCTCCGAAAAAATGCATGGTCCTCCTGGCTTTGGTTCTAACCACACGCCTCCTGTCTGCTGAGCCTTGCTGCCTCTTTGGTGAGGGTGTGTGTGGCTGGTGTGCATTTGTTCGTGTTTGTGCCATTAACTCTTGCTCAGGTTTGCTCTCGACTACTCCTGGTTACCCTGTTATCCAGGAAGGACACTCACCGGGAGCCGGTGACCAGTGGAGGGGGATGGGCATATCCGCCTTGATAGCCCCTTGGAGGGGAAAGCCCCCCTGCTTCTGTGTGCTGTGTTCTGGAGTGCTTCTGTTTCTGGACCCTCTGGGGCTCTGGAATTAAATGTCAACACCCCCCCCGCCCAGGACTCGAGCTTGGAGCATGTTTGGGAAGGTGGCAGGGCAGGTCTGGGCACTGGGGAGATTTGTTCTTCAGCCTCATGAGTGGAAGCAAAGGGTCAGAGAGAGTGGCCTCCCTGCTGGAGGGTGCTGGGTTTACTGGAGACACTGGGCTCGGCCAGCAGCTCGCCGTGCACCCTCCGCAAGCAGGCTTCTCCTGGGTCTCAGTTGCCTCGCCCAGGGCCTGTGAGCCAGATCTCTGACTTCACTGCCTACCTCATGGAGAACAAATTTGGAAGCCTCCTTTTGTGCCAGGTGGAGATGGCTCCTCTAAGACAGAGCAGGTGGCCTCATGGGAAGTTTAGAGCCAGTGCTCTCTGGTGCCTCCCAGCATTTTCCATTCCCATTCCAGGGGGCCCTTGTCAATTTGTAAAGTTTTGTCTGAGCCTCTGTAAACAGCGGGAAAGAAAGATCCTCTCAGAGTCAGGGGTGAGAGGTGGCAGGAATCCTGTCCACTTTGTAGGTGGGCTGCCCTGTGAGGCTTAGATGAGGAGCTAAAAGACCCTTGCAATTAGCCAGGACTGGGCCCCAGAAGAGAGGGGCATCGATTGGCGGAGGAGCTGGCAGTGGAGATGGGGGAGTGGTCCTATAACAGGGGGACTTTGGGGCTCTGTCCAGTGCTTGCAGGCGGTTCAGACCCAGTGGCCCACTTGACTAAGGGGAGGAGCTGCAGCCAGGCTTCCAGGCGGCTACCAGCTGCCGAGACCACAGCCCAAGAAGTCTGCACCGAGAGGGGAAGTCAGTCGCCCCAGCCCTTGGGTTTGGCCCCGGGGGATCTCAACACTAATCATGGCTTTGTGCTCAATATAGTGAAGGAGGAGCCGCAGTACAGCAAAAACCCGGTGGTGATGGTCGATGAGGTCATGAGCTCCAGCCCTCCCAAGTTCAGCTTCCCAGAAGCAGGCTTACGCATAATGATCACCAATAAGTTTGGGCCCAGGACTCGTCTGCGCATGGCCAGCAGGATCATAATTAATGAGGTGAGTTTGCTTCAAGGACCATGAGACCATGAGAGCTGGTTTGTCTCTCTCAGCATGTGGATCCGTCACCTCCTTCGTGTTGTAACCTCCGCCTCTTTTAATGCAACCTCATAGCTGTAGGTTTTTCTTTCAAGTATAATTCTCTGTTGATTCCTATTAAGCTCGAGTCATGACCCCCTCCCACTGTTACCATTCATGTTCCTACTGAGTCACGTCCCACCTCCTTACAATTCTGTCCTTGCACAGCTCTTTGGGGATTTTGTTTGTTTGTTTTTGTTTTGTTTTTAATAAGGATGACCTTTCATGTCACTCCTTTTGGGTAGCAAAATATTATGCCTCCATGTCTGGCCCTGAGTCTCAGATGTAGATCACTTTGCTCTCTTTGTTGGGCTAAATGTTGTGGACACACGTGTAGGAAAAACGTTTTAAATTTCCACTCAACCCTAGACTTCATGATTTAGGAGTCCCTGCCTAAAACCAACATGAAGGCAGTTAATGGTCAATTCCTCTTTCTTTTGGAAAAATAACATGCCTCCATTTTAAGTAATAATGACTTTTTTCCCCCTCTTTTTGCTTCCAGTAACCACAAGCATAAGTGTTAGGCACACAGTTGTGGAGTATTGCCTTGGGGACATGTTTACTGACTCTTGGTCTCCTGCTGA